GGGGGGGGGGTCTGGCATTGCGATGGAAGAACGCCTAGGCTGGGCCTGGGGGGAGCCGGATGGGGAATCAAATCGAGTTTGGCCCTGGGTTTGAGGCGGTGGGTGGTTGTGATGCGCTGTATCGTGCTGGTGATGGGGTGTGGTTATCATGGCGTGGTTAAAGCATTAGGGCTAGAGCGGTTGGACTCTCCTCTCCCTCAGCTGGATCAACCAAACTAGACGTTGATAACTGCTACCTCAGAGAGCTCGACTCTCGTCTGGCAGATTATGTTCACGAAGTTAGTTGGGTTCTACCTGATCCAACCTGGCAGCATTCTTCCTCGAGGCCAGTTGCCCAGGGACTAGGGATGTGGAATGCGAACTTGGCCCCCCCGGCCTGGCTCAACTCCGCTCCCAACTCCCAATCCAGTATGACCTTAGCCCCTCACTCCACTCCCCCATCTAGCCCGATCACAGGCACGGCTACGGCTATCAATATGACAGTTCCGGCCGTCAGGGGATGCTCTCCCCCCGCCTCGTCCCACTGGCGCCTCTTTTGTCCGGCTGCGCGTGTGTCTGTCCTCGTAAGTGTCAAGAATGTGTGGATGATCCTGGCCCTGACGATCCCGGAAAAGAACCACACTCTCCCCTCAAGCAAGACCATGCGATCAGAACTCATGACAGTGATAACTGGCTCTATCAGATGGGTGACCGGTTTGGGGTTGTTGACGTTTACGTTTACGTCGTTAAGGTTGGCTGTCTAGAGGGGAAATGGGGTTGTTTACGTTTACATTTACGTTTACGTCGTTAAGGTTAGCTGTTTACAGGGGGTATGGGGATATAAAGTGGACGTTGCTGGCTCATCAGGCTGGATGGAAGTTGAGGTTATTCGGAAACGAGGTTCGACCAGCGACACATGAGATACTGACTTGGGGGAGGCATTGTCACCACCACCAACACCACCACCACCACCACCACCACAGGAAGCATCAGTTATACCCTCTCTTTCGTCTTTGGTTGTGCAGCGATATCTGTTCAGACTCTTTCCTTCGTGTTGTCTACCTCCAGCACACCTATTCACTCGTGTGGTCGATTATCATCAAGAGCAACACCACACAGCATCATGCTTTTCCAGTCCATCCTCGCCTGGACAGCGGCGCTGGCTTCGCTGAGCGGAGCGTCCGCGAAACTCGATCTTTCGTCCCCGAACAATGTGGCTGTATACTGGGGTGGGTGGAGTTGATACCGTGGCAGATGGACGTTCGAACTGACTTTAGGGCTAGGCCAGAACTCGTATCGGGGGTCGGGGAACTTGGCGCAGCAGAATCTGTCCTACTATTGCGACGGTACGTTGTCCACCACTTGCCACTTGTCACTTGCCTTGCCCCATGGGACCATGGACAGAGCTAATCGCGAGCAGATCCCAACATCGACGTTCTTATCCTGGCGTTCGTGATGCGGGTGAACGGGGCGGGCGGCGTGCCCGAGTATGACTTCGCCGACACCAGCAAAGCTTGTCCGTTGTTCAACGGGACCAATCTGCCCAACTGTCCGCAGATCGGGTAAGTGGCGCTCTGCTTGCTGTTGCTGGGGTGGGTGAAATCGACACTAACAAGGCCAGCAACGACATCACGACGTGCCAGCAGAAAGGCAAGACGGTGATCCTCTCCATCGGCGGGGCGACGTACAGCGAAGGCGGGTTTGCGTCGGACGCGGCGGCGCAGGCCGGCGCCGACCTGGTGTGGCAGACGTTCGGCCCGCCCCCTTCTTTATCTGGTGCATCCAAAACGCAACCGCAACCGCTCCGCCCCTTCGGCAACGCCTCGGTCGACGGCTTCGACTTCGACTTCGAGGCGACGGTCAACAAGATGGCGCCGTTCGCCAACCGGCTGCGCGCGCTCGCCGACGCCGACCCGAGCAAGCCGTACTTCCTGACCGCGGCGCCGCAGTGCCCGTACCCTGACCTGGCCGACCAGGAGATCCTCAACGGGCCCGTCGCCATCGACGCGGTCTGGGTGCAGTTCTACAACAACCCCTGCGGCCTGGCCTCCTTCCAGCCGGGCCAGGCCTCCCAGCCCGCCTTCAACTTCGCCCAGTGGGACACCTGGGCCCGCACCGTCTCGCAGAACAAGGACGTCAGGGTCTTCGTCGGTGCGCCCGCCAACACCGCCGCCGCCGGCTCCGGCTACGTCCCCATCTCGCAGCTGCAGCAGGTCATCCAGTACGCGAAGTCCTTCAAGTCGTTCGGCGGCGTCATGCTGTGGGACGTCACCCAGGCGTATGCCAATCCCGGGTACTTGAGTGGCATCCGCTCCGCGTTGACGCAGACCATGTCGAGGGTTTATCATAAGTTTCGGTATCCGGTGAGTGGGTTGGAGTAGTAGTAGTAGCAGTGGTGGTGGTGGTGGTGGTGGTGATTTCCCCCGTACTTGGGGAGTTTCTTATTTTATATACAGTTCATGTACATCCTCGTGAGGGCTATATATACCAGATGACTATTTAGCTTGGATTTGATCTTGAGACTAACCGAATACCTATTTCTGTGAGGACACACTGTGTTCATTGGGAAGATGCTGTTAGGTCTATCGTAAGATACTCTTCAGTCGGTCGAGAGTGATAGACTATAGCTTCGCTTGGTGACATGTAGCCTACCTGCAATTTATGCTCGTGCTCAGGAGGGTATGGGTATCGGATACTAGGCAGGTCATTCATCGTATTCCAGCCCTAAATACCGTATGCTTTACTTCTCCTCATCGAAAAACTCAAATCAATTACCCACTATGGTCTGCCCTGTCGGACAGCCCTATATATTAATTAAGTACTGAACAATTACCCAGCAGCAGCGCAGCATCAAACAAATCCCCCGTAACCCGTAACCGTACTTCTGATACTCCTCCTCAACCCAATCCCAACCCAAATACCCTACTCCTTCTTCCCTCTGTCTCCTATCCTTCGCTTCTTCTCTCCCCGAATCAATCCTCCAGCAGCTTATCTCCCTTCCACCCCACCGAAATCACCCACTCGCGCTCCCGCACATCCCCAGCCCATCTACTCCAGCTCCTCCTCTTCCTTCGAGGCCGCCAACGAGAAGCGGCCCTTGGGCTTCCCGGGCTCCTCGTACTCGACCGTCAACCGCGCCAAATGACCCAACAGATTCTCAATCTTGAGGTCCCCCTTGTCACGCTTGGCGCGGCCCAGATTATCGAGCCACTTGAACTTGTTCAGCATCACATACACGAGCGCGATCACGATCTCGACGCCCAACGAGTAGCCCCAGACGCGCACCACCGTCACGATATCCGTCCAGCCGTTCGTGGTCTCCACGAATTGGTCTTTCGGGATCGTCGGCATGTCCTGGTTGCTGAACCATCCAAACAGACAAAAGATTGTGGCCAGGACGTCGACCCCAAGGATTGCGGTGACTAAGTGGATCGACGGCCAGGTGTCCATGCCGCGGGTGACGAAGATGAGCCAGTTTTCGGTGAGGGCGACTTCCAAAAACAACACTTCTTGGATGGAGCCCCAGTTTTGGATAATGCCCCCGGACGGCAAGAACATCGTACCGCGGACGACCCATGTGCCCAGGGCGAGAAGCAGGCCTAGCAGCACGGAGATGAACCAGATCTTCGGGAGTTGCCATTCCACGGGTCGCAGGTCGAAGGAGGCGTTGTCATAAGCGACGGCTACTGTTGCGAGATCGGCGAAGAGGGCCAGGAAGACGATAAGTTCAACGCGGATGCTCTCGTTTAGAATGATCATGCTCGTCACGAGGTAAATTTCCAGGTGCAGGCACAGCGCGATGCGGTACTGGATGTAGGCTTTCATGCGGTGGAAGATCTGGCGCGCGACCTTAATCGAGTCGATGATCGTCGACAGGCCCGGCTCGAGGAAGACAATATCCGAGGCGGACTGGGCGGCCTCGGACGCGCCTTCGACCGCAATGCCGCAGTCGGCTTTTTTCAGGGACGGCGCGTCGTTGACCCCGTCGCCTGTCATCGCCGTCAGGTGGCCCCGGTCCTGCAGCATCTGCACCACTTGGTATTTGTGCTCGGGAAACACCTCCGCGAAGCCGTCGGCTTTCTCGACCAGGTCGCCTGCCATGGCTCCGCTGAGCCCGCCGTGGATCAGCTTGTCCGAGTTGTACACCTTGGTTCCCAGGGCGAGCATCTTGCACGTCTCCTTGGCTATCGCGATCGCGTCGCCCGTCAGCATCTTGACGCTGATGCCTAGATTTTGCGCCTCCGTGATCGTCTGCGCCGTGTCTTCGCGCGGCGGGTCGAACATCGGCAGCATCCCCAGGAGCGTCCAATCTTCACCCTCCTTCTGTACGGCGACGCCCAGCGAGCGGAACCCGCGGTGCGCGAATTCCTGCGCCTTGGTCTTGTAGTGGTCCGCTGTCTCCTTGGAGCAGTTAGTAAGCTGGAGCACCGCCTTCGGTGCGCCCTTGGTGCACGTGTACCGGGTGCCGTCGCAGCTGGCGATTGTCACGATGCGCTTCGACACCGGGTCGAACGGTGTGAACTTCTCCGTCTTCCAGCCGCGGCGAAGGATCTCACGGGCCTTCGGGTACTGGCGGAGCGTGAGGATGGTCACTTTGTCGATCGGGTCCAGGGATTCGATGTTGTGAGACGAGGCCAGCACCGCCACCGCGAACATCCAGTCCACGTCCACGCCTTCCGCCACGTATGGCTCGCGAATGCTGAGTTTGTTCGCCGTTAGTGTGCCGGTTTTATCCGAGCAAAGGATATCAACGCCCTAGTCTTCGTCAGTGTCGCTCCGTGTTTTGCTGTTTGAGAGGATGCATACTGCTAGAGATTCGATAGCTGTCAGTTTCTGCACGATGGCCTTCTTCTTCGCCAGGTACGCGGCTCCCACGGCCATGGTCGTCGTCGTGACCACAGGCAAACCGACGGGAACACCGATGATCAGCAGAGCAAGGGTGTAGTGCAGCAGCGTCTGCTGGCCCGGCGAGGCGATGGGGATGTGGCGGAAGAAGCCACCGATCCACGCCGCCAGGATCCACGCCATGACCAGGATCAACAGCGACGTTCCGATGTTATCCATGACGATCTCGAAGTGGCCCGCGCCCTTGGCGGACAGCACCATGCTGGCGGTCTTGCCGACAAACGAGTTCCTCGCACCGGTCTGCACCACCGCATAGGCCTTGCCGCGCTTGCAGCCGGTGGTGTAGTAGATCATCCCACCCATATAGCGGTCCACGGCCAGGGACTCGCCGGTGATGGCCGAGTGATCGCAGGCCAGGATGGGGTACCCGCGCTTGGGCTTCGACTGCGGTTGGTCCTTCTCGGGGTCCTCCCCGCCGGCCTCGGCTTGCTTTCCGGGCTTCTCGGGCTCGTTGTCCTCGAGGTCGGACTCGGAGGTACTGCTGAGATCGCCTTGCTCCAGCATTCTCTTGTACTCCTCAAATCCATCGGGGTCGTTGTAGTCGCAAATCACCTTAGCGTCGCCAGGGATGACATGGCCCTCGGAAACGATAATCTCCACCGCGTGTTAGTTCTGGACTGCGTTGCTGAGAGGCCAGAGAACCTACCACGTCACCTGGAACAAGCTCCCGAGCGAGAATCTCCTGCTGCTGGCCATCACGAATGACCGTTGCTCTCATGGCGATATCGCCCTTCAAACTGGCGACCACGTCCGCGGCTTGCTTTTCCTGGTACCAACCCACCGCGGCATTCAAGCAAAGAATACCGATGATGACACCAAAGTCGATCCAGTCATCCAAACCCGCGGCAAGAAGCACGGCGAGTTCCATGACTACCTCACCAAGTCAGCTCTGCTTTTTTGGGCTAGGCAGCACAGCAACATACCATAAAGAATCGGACCCCGAAAGTAGGATAGGATCTTGGCGATGGGGTTCTCCTTCTCGGAGGTCAATTCGTTCCAGCCCGAGCGACGCCGGCGGTCCGGCACTTCGCTGCTGGACAAGCCCTGGCGGATGTCCGTGAGGAGCCACTCCTCCGGGTAGCCCTGCTGCTGATCGACGTGCTTGACGAAGACCTTGCGCTTCTTCCAGGGCGCGTACCACACGCGCTTCATCTCCTCCTCGCCCTGCCCTTCGTCGCCTCGCCCACCCTCGCGATAGGTCGAGGCATACTTGACCAGTTTGCCGTACTCGTCGAGGTTGGCGTAGTCCTCCTTGTAGGAGACGCGGGAAACCCGCCGCGAGTCACGGCGTTGCTCCGAGCTCGAGGGCTGCGGTTGTGCGCCGCCGCCGCCGCCGCGTTCGACGTCGAGCGTGTTGGCCGCCGTGGTTGGCGCTCCTTGCTCAGCCATGGTGTGTCTTGGATTAAATCACTTTGCCTTATGCAGCAGGGGGAGGGGAAGGTGGGGTTTACCCTCTCTCTTTCTACTTCTCTGCTGTCCTCCGTTCCGTATTACGAACCGGGAGGGAAAAGACGGCGAAAGCGAGAGAGAGCTAGAAAGAAAAGGATGAAGAAGCGAAAGCAAACGATAGGCTGGGAAAAATTCACCACAGGCCTCTTTTCCCCTACAGCACAAAGAGAAGATGCAAGAGAGAAAAGGCTTGACCAGCAGTGAGCGGCGGAAGTGCAGGGGAGCAGCGCGGACGACATCTGCGGAGAACCACCCTTGTGCAGACAATCATGCTGACGTAGTAGATTTGTCTTTTCTACAAAAAAGCTCCCGGGTTGCTGCGGAGTGAGAGTCCTGTGTAAGAGGCCCGGTACTGTACCTTAACCTCCCCAGGTTTACGCGGGTGTGGGTGTAACAGTGGTTTGGTTTGACCGACCGCCATGCTCCCCCAACGAATGACTTTGCTGGTGCTAGGGGTATGACTCGTTGATTCGACCGCTCGGAGAGGTCTTGACGTATGAGACATGGTGCTTTCAGTGGGTGTACCGACTGAACCCGTCTGGAGAGTGCCGGGCCGAGCGGACTATTGGGGATTGTCCATTCGATGAGTGAGGTGAATTGACTTGGGGATTTCCAAGGATCGGAAGGAGTGTCGACCTGGTAAGGAGGCGAGGGGTGATGAGGACAGTGAACTGTAGATCGGTAGACTCGGAGGGAAAGATGGGGGACGCCATGACAGCTGCCAGAGTGTGGAGTCTCATCCGCCAAGCTTTATTGGAGAGTTGGTCTGAGTGGTTGAAGAGGTGAAGAGGTGAGGTGAAGAATGAGGTGTTGACTGTTGACTGTGTTGACTGTGTTGGTGTTGACTGTGGGAGTGTAGTCTATACTTCCCACGCTTGACCGATGGGGTTTAGCGGGTTTGGCTTCGGATGCAACCCTTCCATCTAATCTACTCCATGGAAAAAGTCTTAGACGTAATCGACTCATCATGAGTTTCTTCTCATCTTACGGAACATCATCTCAGTCTCTTCTCCTCTGACTTGTAGTTAGCCGTCCATTCCGGATACAATGACGGCGCCCGCCCGGATAGTCCTGCAAACTTTGAATCTTGGTGGTGACGGCATGACTCCGGTCGATTGTTGTGTCTTGAGTTCGATTTGGTTTGGGGGTTCAGATTGGAATTGGACATATAGAGTGGATATGTACTGTAGATATGAAGTAGTTAGCTTATGCAGTTGATCGGTATTGAATGTAAAATGGTGGTCGCGTGTTCATTTCAGGGCGGAACGTATGCTGCTACCCAGATATATGCCTTCCAAGGCTTGGGTTTTATGCTGAGCGAAAGCAACAACACTCCTCCTTATTTCTTCTGTCCGATCTCTTGCTCTTGATTCTATCTTCTTGAATGTCAGGACAGAATCGATGATAGGATGTGGTATTTCGATGTGGTGGGCTAAAAGGTCCTGGGTATTGTACTGTGTACTCTTTCACCCGCAGTTGATCTCTCAATTGTGTGGGATAAGGCTGCAATATGGGGATTTATGTATTCGGTAGATGAGATGACGGCCAATTGCTTAATTCGTCGAAAGTCGTGTAGTCTATCCATTTACTCTGTGCTGAAGCTGTATGCGCAGCTTGAAGACACTGGAGGGGGCATTGGAGGGGGCTGTCGAATAGTGGGCGATGTCTTGTCTGTTGGCCAGGCTCTGCCCTATCCCTAGTATATATGCGTTTTATATGATATGGTATGCTGCTGCATTATGCATATCGTGGGATGCTGTGCTGTGTGTGCTGTGCTATGCTGTGCTATGCTGTGCTATGCTATGCTATACCAAGCTAAGCTATTCTACCGCAATGCTTCTTGAATTATATCGTATATGCAACTTTCAGATGATATGCTCTAGTCATAGTCCGCTAGCCCTCTCCGCAAACCCGTGCTCCTCCAGCCCCTCGGCGCCCGTATCGGGCGTGGCCACGGAGGATTGCGACTCGGCGAATTTCTCCGCCGCGTCGTCGAGGCGGCCGTACACCCGGGCGTGCCGGCGGGGTTGGTTGGGGCCGGAGGCGGGGAGTTGGTAGCCTCGTAGTCTGTTCATGGGTATAGTGAGTTAGCATGGTTTGGCTTTTATGGTATATTTGAATAGGTATGTATGTATGTGAGGATCTGTTTCCGGAAGGGCACGCACCGTGGTCCTTGACCCTTCGGCTCGGGGAGCTCCGAGCTGTATGTCCGCGAGAAGGTCTGGGCATCAACATCAAAAGTGCCCCGTTCGATACTCTCGCGGATCTGAGCAAAGAAGACGTCCATGGTGTGGTGGTTGTGGATCTGCAGGAGGGACCACGCGAGCATCTCCTTGGCGGAGAGCAGATGGTGCAGGTAGGCGCGGTGGTGGTTGCGGCAGGTGTAGCATTCGCATGATTCCGAGAGCCGGCGGGTGTCGGTTTTGTGGTCGGGGGACCAGAGGTCGTAGGCTAATGGAGTGGACGTAGGAGATGATTGCGACTCCTGCTGCTGCGGCTGGAAGGTGAAGTCCAAGGCAATGCCGGCGTCGGAACATACACCCACGAAAGGAATGGTGTGCAGATCCGCGCCCAGCGAGACATCGCGGAGGATATCGTGAGGGGTGGCCGGCGCGCCAAACAGCAGTCGCGGAAGCTCGCCCAGCGCCTCCGACACAGCGGAGAGCGAGGCCGACTCGTACAGCGCCAGGCCCGAGATGTACGGGCGGAGGTCATTCTCCAAATCCTCCAGATAGATGGACTGCTCCGCGTTCTCGAGCGGCAGCACCGGGGCAAAGTAGACAGCGCTCGATCGCTGCGCTGTGTCTTTGTGGTTGTACAGCTGTTCCGTGGCGTGCGTCGTGTAGGCGTGCGTCCGGTCGACCATCTTCCCGCGCCGCTTCAGTCCTGGGTTGTGGCCGCGCACCAGGTCGGCGAGGCCGACGACGATATCCGGCCGCAGGTGGCGGATAGCATCCAGGTAGTGCGTCGCCTCCAGTTGTCGGTAGCCCACCGAGGTAAGGATGGCGACCGAGTTGGGCGTGTTCGAGGGCGGGCATTTGATCGGCGGTTCGCGACGCGGGCCCATGATCAACAGCTGGTCATCGGGTTGGCAGATGAAATTGCGCAGCGCCGACTCGTTGGCTGCCGTCGGAATCGTATATGCAGGAGGGAAGGGATGCTTCGGGGTTTGTCTTTCTATGACTGATCTGCGCCCCCCACGGGCATTGATGTTAGCGGTTTTCTTTTTTTCTTGGTTGGTATGTGATATTGCTCTTGGGCGGTTGACTGGCTGAAGGGGCTGGGAAACGCTCGTACAATCTTCAAGTCCAATAAAGAGACTGCCAATAGCAGTTTGATCGCGCATGATATCATGTGTTATATGCGGAACGATTCCTCGAGATGTTAGAGGGATGTAGTGCGGCGTGGAGATGGGTTTCCTGCCCGCCACGGCCAGTCTTCCCAGCCGAGGGGTCAGAACCGAGGCTGTAGTGGTGAAGTTGAGCATCTCCTGCGGTAACTGAAGGGATGACCCGGGGTCCATGACGATCAGTGCGAGGTTGTATGCGACGGAGAGTCGCTGGAGAAGGGAAAAAGTTGAGTTGGAAGTTCTGATAGAAAGAAGATTCATGTGGAAATGCGGGAAGTTGCTGGGATCCCCGCGGTCTGTCCCGATCAGGCTAAGTGTTAGATTCTCTCTGGCTGATAACCAAATCCACCCTCGATAACTGAAGCCCGCCTTCTAAACCTCCCCACGCCGATCATCTTTCACAACGAACTTCTCTGCTCACCACCAATCCTACTGTGATCTTCTCGCAGAATGGAAACACCGGCTCAACGTGGTGCTCTAATTGTCGTCGAGGGCTTGGACAGGGCAGGCAAATCCAGCCAGTGCGAGTCTCTACACAAAAGGCTCCAACACAAAGGCCGTGCAGTCAAATATGTTCGATTTCCAGGTACTCCTTAGACTCTTACAACACAGGCATGGCAAACTATATCTAACCCCTGCCAAGATCGAACCACAGCCATCGGGAAGATGATCGATGGCTATCTGCGGGGTCAGTCACAGTTGGACGACCATTCTATTCATCTTCTCTTCTCCGCAAACCGCTGGGAGCTGGCTCAAAGCATCGAGCAAGATATTGCCAATGGAGTCACCGTCATTGTGGATCGGTATTCGTACTCTGGTGCTGTGTATTCGGCCGCCAAGATGAATCCCACGCTGTCCCTGGAATGGGCATGGACGCCAGAGATTGGACTGCCTCAGCCTGACCTGTGTCTGTTCCTGAGTATCTCCCCGGAAGCAGCTGCTCAGCGTGGAGGGTTTGGTGCCGAACGCTACGAGAATGCGACCATGCAGAACCGCGTGCGCGAGTTGTTTCAGACGATCTTCCGCGTGCAACGGAGCGGGAATATCCGCACCATCGATGCGGGCAGGACATTCGAGGAAGTGGCGCAGGATGTTGAGACAAGCGTCATCGACTGCATTGCAGGCTTGGATGCAATTGGTCCTTTGAGGAAATTTGAATCGACCGCCCATTGACCCCTTATTCTACCCACACTAGCGAGCAGCGGCTGGTGGTGGCGTCATTGCTCATTCTAGCGTATACATTTCTTCGCAGTCGCTGTCTTCTATAATGATCTCGGTTCTGGTCGATGTAGGCTGGGATCGTGACTCCATCAAATTTCCCGACTCAAGGTCCGCATCTAATGACTCAGTCCAGTTCTCATCTAGACTGACGTCGTCAGGGAGATCCGCTTCTCGAAGGTCAACTGCTGTACGCTCGTTGCTGGTATCATCGACGCCGACACGCCCTTGCTCTGAAGTGACCCTGGAGCCTCGCTGAGTCGCGTCCGCTTTAGTCTTCTTCCTTTTCGCTCGCGGTTTGTTCGCT